CCCCCCCCCCAAAAAAAAAAAGTTATTTGGGTAGAGACGAAAGAGAAAAAAAAATATGGAGATTATCAAAAATAATTTTCAATATGATCCTTAGATCTTCTAATTATGTCAAATAATTGTTTCTTATTATTTTTGTTAAAATCTAAGTTTTGGGTTAGTTTTGTTTTTTTGTTTGTTTGTTTTTTTTTTTTTTTTTGGGGGGGGGGGGGGTTTTTTTTTTTTTTTTTTTTGGGGGGGGGGGTGGCTTTTTGCTAACAATTAAAGTAGAGATAAAAAATTCATATAGTCCCTTAAATCTTTCATATTTAAAATTGGTCCCAAAGCTTTCATACTTGAAATTAATCCCCCAAACCTTTAACATTTGAACTTAATCCCTCCAAATCATTTTTTTTGTCTTTTTGAAGTGTTTTGAAATATCTTTTGTTCCATTTATCATCTAAATTGTTAATCATGGTTGAGTAGTGGTTAATTAGGAACAAATAATTACCAAAATCATCATAAAATCTGGACTCAAAATTATTAATTTTAAGTCTAGTATAATATTTCCCCAACTTGCACTCCAGTGAAGGTTTGTCGGGGTTTGGGATTGGAAGGATATTGATATAGCTGCGAAGTTTGCTAGTTCATCCAAAATTGTTAAAAGATGATGAAACTCTTAATTTTAACTAGCTTGTAAGTGGAGCAACTAATTTTAAATCACTTAAAATATTTAGGGAACAAAGATGGAAAAAGCCCTATATATACACACATCACCTTTACATATAGTTTTCCTCGCAATTCAATTATAATAGGAAAATGAAGTTTTAATTTCCATGTACTTTTTGCATTTAATAGTAGAAATTTAAAATAGGAATTATATTGTCATGTGGTTTTATAATTTTATAATGGAATAGTGAAATGGGTTCTTCCAATTTTATAAAGTTTTACATTAAAAAGTAGATATGTAAAAATAAATTTCCTATTTTCATATACTCCTGCAATTTTATTAATTTACCAAGTCTTCAAAGAGATTATGATTTATAATTTTTTGATATAAAAATCTAATTACAATTGATTCATTTTTTAAAGGATGTTTTAGAAGATTGAAGTATTGATTCCACGATGAGTGCATATGTTGAATTATCTAAGCATTCACGAAAAGATATTTCTTTTCGTAAAACTTTTACTTTACATTCTTCTTTTCATATTGTTGCATTTATGAAGGTTATATATACCTTATAACATGTGGTTGTTTTTTTATTAATGCATAGTACAATAATTTTATGGCAACTTAAGTATCCAATAATACCAATCATATTTGAGTTAACAATTTCTGTCTCTCTTGCCCATGTTCTGTCCTTTTGGTGTCTACTCTTTCTCATATTCACATGCAGTAATTGTATAATTGACACATTTTAGCTCCAAGAGACAAAAAAAAATTATGCCTCGTTTGGTATGGTATGGGGGAATGAGTAGGAATAGAATACAAATGCTCACTTCTCATTCATTTCTACTAAACTCAATCTCTTTTTCAAAGCGAGAATATCCATTCTCACGTCTCATCAATTCCCACTTTTATGTGAGAAATGACCATTCCCAATGAAAATGGTAGGGAATGAGCATTCCTATTTAAATGGAAATCAATACATAATTTTCCTATACATCCATTCCTACTTTATTTTGTAAACTTGCACTCAAAAGTGAGAAACAGAAATGAGCATTTCATTCTTACATTAGTTTCATTCCATTCCTTAGTCCATTCCATTCTCACTTTGCTCGGTTCTATTCTATCCCTAGGTCCATTCCTTTCTCATTCCAGTCTATTTTATAGTACCAAAATGAGGTGTAAGTTTTTGGCATATTAGATCTACAGAGTTTTGCTAATTCTATATTAAATTACTAAAGCTTCATATTTCTAACTAAAATCCAACTCCGTTAAGTTGTTCTAAATAACACTATGTCTTTTTTAACACTAAAATGTATTAAGTAGTTCTAAATAATACCCCTATTTCGAACAAACATAGGTGGAATGTTCTTTTTATTTATTTATTTGGGATCAGATTTTGTAACAAAATAAAAAAAGAAATAGATGTTCAACGTGCAAGTAAGGGCCCGTTTGGATAATGGAAGTATTAGAAATAAGAAATAGATTACGAAAGTAACTTTCAAAACTATGAAATAGGAAGTAGCGGAAATAACATTTTTTGTTTGTTTCATATATTTTTAGAAGTAATGGAAGTAGAATTTCTTCCTCTTCATTTACTTATTTTGTTTGGATAATACTTGGAAATATTACTCGGAAGTAATTAATACATGTTGCTTCCATTTTTTTATTTGGATTGTCATTGAAATAGAAATAGAAGTATTATAACACACCACAGGCCTCGAAGATTGTTGTGCTTAAAAGTTAGAAAGCTTACATCACGAATAAAACAACATCAATATAGTAGGTCAGTGAAGTCACTATTAGGGTAAATTTTAAATTGAAAAAAACATGACAAATGTTTACATTCTTATCTACTATTAACATCGACAAAAAATATTGGTCCTTCGGGCTTGCAAGTTTTTGAGCAACATATGTAATAATTTGACTTACTTACATTTTCTAGATTGTTACCCATCAAATACTATGTCCACCCAGGTATACAAGGAACATCCTTCCAAAAGTTTGGATGCTCTACAATAATGAAAGAAATCATATTTTCAGTCTTATAGGTTCCAGGTCCTTAACCTGTATGTCTGATTCACCAGACAAAATTTCAAGTAGTAAACATCCACAAATATTCTTATGATGGCTTCTTTGGAATATTTAATCATACCAGCCATGGATTATATATATCTTCTTTGCTTCTGGGTTTGGTTATTTTTTTATATCCGTCACTATGATTGTGTACCCAGCTATATCAATAAAGTTAACTAATCTCGGCCTCTAAATTCTACGGAACAAAAAGTTAAAATTTTCAATCCTCTTAAATCCACGCATGTTAGAAATAATAAATGTCATTTACACTTGTAGAAAAAATAAGTTATTAGAAATAATAAATGTGACTTACACGAACAAAAAGTTAAATGTTCCCTCCTCTTAAGTCTCTAGGTATATAAAGAGGCAAGTATAATGTTATAAGATAAGATCACAGATGACATAAATGGGCATATGGCTCAAGTGCAGGCAAACCTGCTACTAGATGCTCATCTAGGGCAGTTGTAGGAGGAGGAAGCAAAAGAGCAGGAACAACTGCCGCTGTAAGATTTGCAGTCTCATAGCGGATATAACTTCTTCATCACAAACACTCAGTATCACTCCAGCACCATTGGCAACAGCCCATCTTGGGGTCGATGGCATAAGTTGAGGATGCTTTCCAGATCCACGACTAGTACCTGAACCAGTTGGGTTAAAAAAAAGTTTATAATAGAGTCCCAGCTTTAATTACATGGTTGAGAATAAGATAACCGAAGATAGAAAATGAAAACTCTAATTGAAAACAAGGATGAACGCTTTTTGCCACGCGCGAAGACGGCATGGACTAGAATTGCCGCGAGTTGAGGGAACCTTTCACGCGGGGGACGTCGATTGTGAGGTTATCAATAGAAGGGCCAGAGTCGGTTGTTTAGAAGAGGAAGAGTCAGTTGTAATTTGATGGCTTCCGTAATTATGATTTTGAGAATCTTTTTTCCGCGTGGACCCCACTTTACATCAACTTCCGTCGTATTTCAGAGCATTCGAAGACGGAAAAATATCAAGCAAATAGAGGTGCCACGTAGACGCCACGTCAGCTTTTAAAGAAGTAGCGGATGTAGTTTTTACAGAGAAACAAACATACATTTTTATCAAGAAGTAGCAGAAGTAGCATCTACTTCCTCTACTTCTGCTATTTCATAGTCACTTTCCGTGCAAACAAATGGGCCCTAAAAGTGTTAAACTGTATTCGTATCCGAGGAAATATCTGTAACCATATCCGTTAGGATACAGATATGATTACTCAAATCTATAACCGACAGGATATAGTTACAAATATGATTTTGTAGTAAAATATCCGTATCCGAAATATCCAGATACATATTAGTCAAACTTTTACAATAGTTTCAATTATTAGATTATGGATTTGTGGTTAATTTTGATGATCAAGATGTCTAATTTTAGCTTTTCAGTTATAACGAACATATTAACGAGCTCTTTTGTATTATGTTTTCTTTCAATATTATCTAGTTTTATCATATCTGTTTTGTATCTGAATGCATATCCACTGATATATATGCATCCGTATCTGTAACCGTATCTGATTTTAGCGGATATGAATACGGATTTTTCTTACTGTATCCATAACCGTATCTGATTTTAACGGATATGAATATGAATTTTTCTTACGAGGTACATCCATATCCGTATCCGTGTGGGTAAGCCACCTAAATATGATGCCGTGTCTAGACCGAAGTCACGTGCATTTTAATAACGTGAGAATAACGATAATATCACACCCAATTTTGTCAGCCATCATCACTGACTGCCACAAGCATATTACTCATGAGTCATGAAATGACGAATGGGAAAAGAGAGTGACAATATAAAGCACTTCATACCACTTGTCTGGCTCCGTCTTCGCACTTGATGTTGGGGTGAACTGAAGGGCTGCTATCTCGCGTGAAAATGGCCAAATCCCCGCCGCCGATGCTGCTTTCAATCCTTTTGTTCCTAATTCCAACTCATCGAGTAAATGGTACGGATAGCCTCTTTCTATTTCCATTTAGAGCTTAGTCTAAAAATTCGTGCTGCGTTTTTCGCACGAGAAAATATTCTAATTTCTGATTCAATTGGTTCATGTTCTTTTAAATTTCATTATGTTTCTGTATATTTTATTGAATTTTTAATACTATTATGTTGTTATGTTGTTGGAAGAATTAGGGTTTTAACATGTTTAAGTTGCACTTGGTTGAACTTATTTAGGGTTTTGCAAAGTTATTTATTATGAGAAGGAAAAATAGGGTGTGTGTGTGTGTGTGGGGGGGGGGGGGGATGAGATGTTCACTCATGTTTCTTATCTATAATTTGTGAATTTTGGGGGAATTTCAGGAGAGAGCAGCACGTTGGAGTCCGTGCCTGATCTTGAGAAAGCAATGTACTTGAATCTTGAAGCATACGCATGTGTTCGGCTTTTGAATCTCTCGGGTGAAATTGGTTGTTCAAGTAAGTATGCAGAGAGGAGAGTCGCTGTGCTTTTTATTGATTAGAGCATTTCTTGCAATGAGCTATTACTTGTTATCTGCAGATCCTGGCCGTGGAAAAGTTGTTGCGCCCATTTCGAGATTAAAGGACGCTCAGGACCAGTTGGCGGGTGCACGGGCGCTTTTGGTGCCCCTAGCAGAAATGAGAAGTTTCTTTCACAGGCATATCAGCACTTATTTTAGGGCGCCTCTTATTTGTTACTACCTGCATTCACAGCACATTTTGAAACCTTTGCTTCATCTTGTCATAGCTTTTAAAATCTTCTAGGCCTTTTTTTAATCCAGAAATCTTCTAGGCCTTTGATAATATGAAAGGTAGAGGTCATGTCACTGATTATTCATAAATTATGCTGGTACCATCTGTCACCAGTTATGTGCTTGTTTGACGTGCTGTTTGTTGTGCTCCCACGTCCGTAATTCCATATACGAAGTTGCCCGTTTTTTGTATGACTTCCATGTACTCAAACTCAAATATACCTTTAGATAAAGTTCACTGTGGGGTGGGGGGTTACAGTAAAGCGTGTCAGAGGAAGGAAAGTTATTCTGAACATGGTAAGAGATGTTAGTTATTATGCCATAAATTATGATGAGTGGGATTCAAATTGCTGGCAACTGTTAGGATAAATAATGACTGTTGATCTAGTAGAAATGTACCCTAGGTACTATTTGGAGTTATTAAGCAAATCAATTGAGTTGCTTGCTGGCGATGCAGGTCAAGCAACATTGACGTGTAATCGGCTGGGACTGATTGATTATGACCCATAACTTAACGAAATCCTGGCCTAAACTGACAAACTTATTGTGTCTTTATTTCTTACTCAATTCTTTCTCTGTTCTTTGGGCATTGGGGGAAGGTGGTTTATGCATTGTTTGTTCTTTGTGCACTCATTTAACCTGCCAAAATTCTCATGTCTTATAGTTTTTCAGCTGAATTTTCAGGGTTTCTAATGATCCACATTTTGCAAAAAATATTGCTGGTGTTTTGGTCGACTCGACCGGACCACAGAAAATTTTGGCCGGTAATATGCTCATATTAAGTTTTGAAGGATATTTCTTATGATTTTATTATTTCATTTTGTTTTTGTAGCTAATAAACTTTCAAAGTGTTACTTCATAGGGTTTTCACCAGCTGAGAAATTTCCACAAGCTGAATTTGCACCATATCGGGACCTCAGTTACGGATGGAACCTTGCTGTAAGTCTGTGAGAGGGACATTTTTGTATATGCCAGACCATCTGCCTGTAAACTTGAAGAAATTGCATTTTACTTTTATTCCAAATTTATGTTTTTTCTACATATTCTTCTGGATGACAAACATACTTCTTATGTAGGGTTCTGGTATTATGCGGAATCACTACAATTTCCCTGTATTTTTACTCTCTGAGGAGAGTACTTCAATGGTGCAAGAGGTCAGTAGTATGCAACATATTGTTTTGTTCTTTTTCCCCCCTTGGAAGGACTTGTTACACTTTCAGATGCTAATTACGCTTGTCGTCAGTAGTGCTTTTGTGTTTTCAAAGTTTTAGATCAGTGCCTGCTAATGCTGTACATTTTTCTGATTAAATGGATCTTGCATGTCATTTAATGTAGTATTTTGCAATTTGTTCATAACCGGTTTTTGTCTAAAAGTTGTTTGCTGTCATCTGGTTTAGACTGTAGCTACAAATGAGAAGAGCAAAAATGCTTATCCAGTAGGTGTTGCAGAGTTTGACCTAGCCATGCAGGTGGGGGATTTTTCCATTAAAGTTGTACTTAATAGCTATATATTTGTCATAAATTAACACTTTTATATTTGAAAAATGTTCTCTAATATGCTTCACTTATTTTAGACAACAAATGCTGGAACACGTGATTCTGAATCTTGTCTCAGAGAGAGGACTTGTTTGCCGTTAGGTGGATACAGGTGAAATTTCCCCATGTGAATTCTTGACTGTTATGCTGCTATATTTATTGTGGAGTAGAATGTTTGTTACCACTTGTTAAGGTATTGTGATAAATAGGGCATATCACTCAGTTCAACAACTTAACAATCTAACTTACAAGTTCTATGAGAATATAGAGCTTTCTGTGCTTTAACCTTTAATTGCATAATTCTGATATCTGAAGGGCAGTGTCTGGTCTTCACTACCACCGATAAATGTTTCGTCTTTGGAGTCACCAAAGCCTATCTTGATGGTGCTTGCTTCTCAAGATTCTGCCTCCTTTTTTCGTGACAAAAGTCTTGGTGCTGATTCTCCATTGTCTGTAAGTTTATAATCTGAAATTTACACCACTTCTTGGCTGCTTTTTTCACCCTAAGTTTGGAGAATGCTATGATTAATTTATGGCAATTTGTATACAGGGATTGATTGCAATGCTGGCTGCAGTTGATGCTCTTTCTCATGTTGATGGCTTGGATGAGTTTAAAAAACAGGTCAGCTGGCTACATGCTATCATCCAAGTTCATTAGACTACCAAGAGTAGATAAATATTGTGAGATATATATTAGAAAAGCAATGCTATTGAGAATGTGGTGCTTGAGTTATGTGATTGAATGCGCAAAAGAATCCATGTGTCTATTATATTGGGTGGATATTTGGTGGAACTGGGAGAAACTGTCTTTTGGATGAAGTATATTAAAAATCTCTTGCTTTCTCCGAGTGTTAGCTGATCTCTAGCTTCCTTGTCGATTTCTGTTTATCCTGTTTCTTCTTATTGGACCTTTGGGAAGTCATTTTTGTTGCTTGGGAGGAATCCTTTAGATAAAGGTTAGAAAATTCTATCCAGAAAAGTCATACTTTATGGGTCTGCAATGTTGGTTAGTCAAGATGCTCAAAAGGATGGGCTTAGCTAAAGTCAAGATTTGAGACGGATGAACGACAATTATAAGGGTAGAAAGTGATTACATGGAAAATTGGAGGCAGCATAAATTTCTGTATAAGACAGGAATTTACTCTATGGTGGTTGTTCGTGAAAGAAACAGAGTGGACTCACAGGTACACCACCATTAGCCGTAGGATTATCTGAAGTAAATGTGATTGTAGGATGAGATATATACCTTAAAAACCTGGGTAGAGTGATGTGTTTTACTAAGAATGTTGCCCGTAACAGAGTTGACTGGCTGAAAAGAACTCAATTCATATACTCAATCTCAGAGAACCAGGATAGGAGCTATATTGTTTTATTCTTTAATCATTACAGAAGCAGTTTGTTACTTGTTCACTACATATTACAGCTTATATAGTTATTCTCTTTAATTCTGCAGGACTAACCGTGGGTTACAGTTTGCCATTTTCTTTTAACTACTCTTACTGGATTCCCATTTTATTTGCTTTAATCATCTCTTCTCATCAAAAGACAGTGCAATATATTACTTATACCATTGTTCCTTTGTTGTATATTTGTTATAGATTGTTTTTGCGGTTTTCACTGGAGAAGCTTGGGGATACCTTGGTAGCAGGAGATTTCTACATGAACTAGATTTGAGTGCAGATGCTGTTAATGGCCTTAATGGCACCATGATTGAGCAGGTGAACTTTTCATGTCCTTGTGCAATGACTATGAATTGGGGTCTCTTTCTAGATGAACCAAACATGTGATTTATTATTGTCAGAATATCAGTTCCATCTCTGCTATATTTTGAAGCCTGAGGCAGGTATGTGATTGGGAAGTATATGATACAAAATCAGCATATAGAAACTAAATATTCTACCAACATATAAGCTAACATGCACAAAGCTATTGCATGTGCAAACATATACTTCAGAAAAATTATACACTTTAATGTTTTTCTTAATAATGTTTGTGTTAGATGATTGACAGAATTAGCATTGACGGTTGCTTGATCTGTATAGATCAAGAAATTGATAGATTATATGTCATCTTTTCTCTCTGTCTTGACATTGATCATATGATTTCTCACCTACCGTGATTTCTTTATCATCTGCTACTATGTTCGCTGATCATTGACTAGGTCATGGACTGGAAGAACTATTTTCTGGGCTATGATTATGGAAGTATGCTGTCTAGTTTATATCCTTCTATCTACTAGTCAGGATGTTCCTCCTTGTGCTCCCTTTCTCAGCTGACTTTTCCAAATATGTTAAAGGAAAAATTCATTAAGGACATCATCGAGTTAATTATCATTGATACTTCATTTCCCTTCCGCTGCATTTTGTTTAACCATAAATTGTTCAGCACATAAAAGCGATACACTAAACAGTTTCTTGTTCCAGTCTACATTAGAAACTTAGTTAATTATTTTAAGACTTGTTGTTGGCATCTCAGACACTTTTTTTTCTATATGTACTAGTCAAATGAGGAGATATAGTCTTCCCGGATACTTTATTTTCGATGCTGCAAGCAGCAAGTCCATAAATCTCCATAGATAACAGGAGTGCTTAGATAATATCCTGTTGCAACCTTATTCTGTCCTTATATTGCTGCATTCTAATTTTTCCTAGACATGCCTTAGGGTAATAAAATGGGTCTTTCTATACAAACTTTTTTTAATCTTCATGCCTTGTCCTTTGGTTACACAAAAGTGCTCCTTTTCTGGCATTGTACTTGTTTATGTTATGCACTATCCATGTCAATATGCTTTCCTTTGCTGGTGATCATAGATAACAAAGAATCACAAATGTCTATCATTGTTGTGCTGTATATGTTGGAGATTAAATAAATCATCTCAAATGACTGCCATTGTTCTTGCTTTATAGGTCTTGGAGATGGGATCTGTGGGGAAAGGCTTTGGTCAAGGTGCCACAACTTTCTATGCTCACCTGCAAGGGGTGAGATTCTGCCTTTGGCTATGCTTTATCGAGCTTTATAATTGCCTTCGATGTGATATTTTTCTATACAGTTTTATATCTGAAGAACTAGTGATGCAGCTGAGCTAATAAATTCTGTGTTCTTGGATCATGTGGACTAATGGGTATGCATTTCAACAGCTTATCATTGACATTTCATACACCAAATTGTTGGCTAAAAACTTGTAGAGCTCCAAGAAGAAATGGAAGTTAATAAATAATTCTAATCATTGAAAGTACCCTCTCAAAGGAGAGAGAAAAAAGAAAAAAGAACAAAGTAAGTGGCGTGCTTATGATTATTAACGACTCTGTTAGAATATTGAAAATATAGCAACTGCAATAGTATAACTAGCTACTTGCTTGTTTTTACATTTTTATAATGACAGCCAGCAACTACATGCTTGTTTTTACATTTATAATGACACCCAGCAACTACACATGACCACAACTCATCTCCACTATAATAGGGACTGATGCAGGACAATTATGCAAAATAGGGGCAAGGGAATGGGAGGGAAAGGGGGTAAAATAAGAAATGCCTCCAAGATCCCACAATATTTGTAGCTTTCAAGACCATTCTGTCCTTCTCTACATACACCCTTCTGTTGATATGAAGGATTCTAATTATTTAGTGGCCCTCAAAGACCTGGTGAGATCTAATAATAACCTCATTACTTTTTGTGTCTTCTAATAATAAATTAAGTATATTAGAGTTTGGGCAACTGAAGTTATTTAAATTCGACTGTTGTTGTAGTTCTTGCAACGCTGAGTTTATAATACGTATACATGGAAAAAAAAAAATCTATCAAGATTAGTTAGCAGACTGACAATAAGAGCATCTATTTAGACTTGAATTACATTGTTCAAGATAGTGCTAAGGTTTAATAGTACTATCCTTGCTGAAGGAACATGAGAATGAAATTGAAAAATCTGAAACAAGGCTGTATGGGAATGACTAACCATATAACATAGCTATTGGCTGAAGTTATGATTTCCAACTATTGTAAACATAGGTTTTCAAGTCTAAAATGTCCTACGTGGTTATTTTGTAAAACATACTTGAATTGTTCAACACCATGCAATTGTCAGTTTATTTCCAACTACCATCTAGTTAAAGGTAAGGCAAACAGAAATAAAAACTTTAATGTGACATATTATTTCGACCACTGGAATTATTAGTGAAACACTAGATTTTTCCACAGTGGAGCCCATGTTCCATTGTTTTGTGCTGGAGAATAGAACTTATCAGAAGATAAAGTTTACATCTTTTGGCGTGAAGCATACAAATAGTTACTACCAGTGCAAGATTTCTGATTGAGCCTAAGCTTACTTATTCTCTCCTCTGACCTTAACCTTGTCAATCTTTTCTTCTGCTAATATTGTTTCTGTACTGCACGTGTCACCATTATATCTCCTTATGCCTATCTAATTATTAAGTTTAACTATTCAGCTTTTTATGGAAAGTTAAGTCTCATGTAAGCACATGTGTAATAATTGAAATAACAGCTCTTAGATTATTGTTACTGCTTGCTACAGGATTCATCTGCTAGAAAAGAAATCTTAAGTGCTTTCCAGACTGCCAGTAATTCGCTTGGTTCAGACAATGTTAATGTCAAAGCAGCAGATGAATCAAATCCTGGTGTACCTCCATCTTCGATAATGTCATTTTTAAGAAAGGTTGGTAATTTGAAAGCCAATATTCTAGTATAAGTTAAGGCCCATATTTTAGTCTATGATGCAAAAATATGGTCTGTGTGAAGTTAATCATGCCTATTTGTTTAGAACATTGTTCCAAGTGAAAGTTTGCAGTGAACCTAGTGAGATTTAGCACGGTGCTGGTTGTAATATAAGTGAAAACTCATCTTTTATTCGTAAAATGACAAAAAATTGCATTAATAGCTAGACTGTTTAAATTGCTTTCTTCAAATTTTATATTAATAATGTCTTCTGGTAGTTCCAGCATTTCGAGCATTAGGTTACGTTTTGTTCTGTTTTCTTATTTATTTATTTATTTTTGTAATCGTTCCCTCCCTCCCAAGACATTACTACAACAACAACAGCAGCAACAACAACAACAAGCCTTTATCCTATATATTTGGGTTTGGCTACATGCATCCTTTTCTTCCATTCCACTCTATTTCGGGTCATCTCCTCCGTTAAGTTAACCTTTATCATATTCTTCTTAGCTGCTTCCAACCAAATTCTCGTAGGTCTCCTCTAGATTTCTTTGTCGCATAAACTATAATATTATCACTTTTCCTAACCGGTGCTCTAGGTGGTCTCCATTGTGCATGACCAAACCACCTTAGTCAATTCCCTCTCATTTAATCCTCAATAGGAGCAACCTCTAAATTACTATGGATGCACTTATTTCTTATCTTATCTTTCATCTTTCAGTCTATACCTACGGGACCATCTTAATATCCTCATTTCTGCTACACATTTTTTGCACATGTTATTTTTTAATTGCCCAACATTTTGATCCATAAAACATTATTGGTGTTACAACAGTCCTATAGGTCTATTGAAATTGAAGCCAAATCTGAGTTTGCACAGCTTGCTGCATGCCATTTTTATAGGTCTATTGAAACTGAAATGGTACTGTTGTTCTGATGCTTTGACTATTTGCAGAACTCTTCAGTTTCAGGAGTTGTTTTGGAGGATTTTGATACTTCCTTTGCCAACAAGTTTTATCACAGCCATCTGGATAACCCTTGTACGTTGAACTTTCATCTTGATTGTTGTAACTGCAGGTTTAACTTGAAGTAGACATCTTATCTTTCTTTCCCCCAACTTCTATGCAGCAAATATCAACTCGTCATCAGTAGCTGTGCTGGTTGCTCGTGCCATTTATGTTATGGCTAGTGGCCGCTCACCATTAGATCTTATGACATTAAACTCCATTAAAGTTAATGTCTCAATGGTTGAAGAACTGGTGGGATGCCTGTTGACTTGTGATCCCGGCCTTTCTTGTGACATTGTGAAAAATTTTATTTCCCCTAGCAGTTCCTGCCCAAATCACTATGTTGGTGTTTTTCTTGATTCACCTTCTGACACAGAGCATCCTCAGTATGCCACTGATACTTCTAGATTTGTCTGGAACTTTTTGGCGGAAAAGACATCCACTCCAAAGAATAATTTAAGTTCCTGCACAGGAGAGTGTAGCAATAGTTATGAAGTATGCATAGGAGCAGAGACGAATGGAGGTAGATGTGTGATCTCCACAACCAGGTAATTTTATGTAACAAATATAGATATACTTATTATTTTTAAAGTGGTATTTCCTGGTATTGCTCAAATGATGAAGAAGTCAAGATATGGAACACGTAAGTCATAACTGAATCATAGATACAGGATGACCTTTGGTGAAGGTTGTCTCCTGTTCTCAAACAATCTCGTCTGTAGTTACATTTCCATAAGTAACACTAGTTTTCTTATACACATTGTTATTTGCAAAGGATTTTGAAAAAGTTTTTCATGTCTATTTGTATCTCTTACATGGATATGTATCACAACAATGGTTCATCCATAGAACACAGCTGTGCAATAGCCCACAAATAGCAGATAAACAGCCCACAAACATCAATTATAACTCTTGTACACTAATCATGTTGTGTGACCTTTTAGGCTAATAGGTAATTATACATAATGATAACCTATACTATTAATGTTGTTTGACTACATGTGCTAACAGTCCCCCTCAAACTGAAGATGGTAATTGTACCAGCTTAAGTTTGGAAACTAGCCTTGCAAATGAGTCGACCGTTGGGGTGGCAAACGGGTCGGGTCGGGTCGGGTCATAGTTGACCCGACCCGTATAAGTGTGACCTGACCCGACCCATTTAATAAATGGATTAATGCAATCCGACCCGTTTATTAAACGGGTTACCCAACCTGACCCATATAACCCGAATGACCCATTTAATAATTAATGTTTTTTTTCCACTTACTTGAATAATCAAATCTATAACCCCGAATGACTGATTCAAATTGATATTACTGAAAAAAAGGTTCAGATGAAAAAAATCATCCATGCAACTAGTTGGGTTTGTTCTATGTTACAAATTATGATTGGGTTGTGAGCTTATCTTGTTTTGTTTGATCATAGGAAAAAGATCGATCAGATATTCTAATCGTGTATAACTTTAACTAGGTAGATATTGAAGAATAAATGGTGAAGATTATAAGCATTGCATCATATGAGCATGTAAGTATCAAAGATATAAGTAACAAACACTAGTAGATAAGTTCCTGTTTCAGATGTATGAAGTGACAAAAGTCATATCAGAACAAGAATATAACAGTGAGATTCATGCGTAAGAATCAAAATAGGACAAGAACACCTAAAGTGCTAACAAATATCAAACTATCATAATACAATCAGCTAGTTCTTGATACTAAAATTAAGCACTAGTTAAGCAGTTCAGAAATTCAATTTGGCAAAATAAATGAATAAAACAGAGTTATTATGCATAGTTCAGTCGTATGAACTGATCAAAACTTCATCACTGCCTGTACATCTTGGTGAAGATAGGGTTGGATATCTCCTCGAGTTTCTTCTTCGTATACTCAAACTCCTTGGTATCAGCCAACTAGTTACGGTCCAGCCACTGGATTGCTTGCTCTACTGCATTCTTGATCCTTTTTTTATCAGCAAAAGAAATCTTCGAGGAAACCTTTTCATCCCTAATACTGTTCTTCAGGCTATATGTACAGGTCTCCAGTGCATTCCTGGCCTCAAACCTTCTCTTGTTCGCTGCATCTTCTGCCTTGAACTTTTCTGCCATGAGAACCATCCTCTCGATCTCCTCCAACCATTGACCCAACAACTGTTTTAAAAAACCTCCGCCTAGTCCGCTTAGGCGTACGCCTTAACCTAGGCGGTACCTAGGCCGCCTAACTAGCGCCTAGCGCCTAGGCAGTATTTAAGCTGCCCATCTAGATTTTACGAGCGTTTAGGGGAGCATTGTCTGCTTACGTAGATTGCACTCTGTAGGCCTTGATTGTGATTTTATGTGTCGTAGCCTACACGTCCTCCAAACTCCATTAACCTCCAAATATGAACATCTTCGCTACCTCCTCCGACCTTCAGCAAAACCTCATCGACCCCCACTTAAATGAAGAAAGAAAAAAAACGCTCAAAAACCGTTTAGGCGCCCGCCTAGGCGACTAAGCGCTGGGCGTCAAGTCCGACGCCTAAAAGCGCCCAACGTTTAATGTAACATTGGACCCAGCAAAGAGCAGTATGTTCCAGTCCAGAGTACTGAGAATTCCCCCAGATTCATACATTTGGTCCATTGATGAAGCTTCAATGGACGTATAGTCTTGTGAGGTAAAGTAATTTCCTTTCTCTATGACGATGGCCTTGTAGCCTGAGCTCGAAAGGATAGAAGCTGCAACTCCGCCACCATAGTCTGAGCCAATAATAACAGCATCACATTCAACATGTTAACAACCAAAAAAGAACAGCCGCAATCATAAGTAATCGAACAGATACCAAAATGCCGATCTGACCTTGAAAAACAAATGCTATCACTCCTGTCCAAGGAAACATATTAAAACAATCAAATAAAGAGCTTTACTTACAAATAAATCAAACCATACCAACTTTATAGTTTTGATTATTCAAGTAATCGAAGTTTATATTAGGCCAAGGAGACTACATAGTATAAGAGATTCATACTTGTATTGGCATAGATTCTCCAACATCTAATTGCATGATATCCTCGGAAAGCTCATCTAATTTTGGTTGCATGTCATCTATCATTAATAAAAAAATAAGAAAACCAATAAGCAAATTCATAACATGTATTTTGATGAAAAAAAACATAAAAATATAACATTAGTAATTGTCTACCTTTGATACCATATAACCAATCACGCGTGCAAACTAAAACCTCCACATTGTTAGGCTTAAGAGTGCTACGGTATTGGTTAAGGATTCTCCCACTTACACTAAAAGTACTCTCTGAAGCAATCGTAGAAATAGGAACCGTCATTATGTCCCTTGCCAATAGAGAGAGCTCGGGGTATCTATGCTCATTAATTTTCCAAAATGAAAGAATATCGAGTTGTGCACCACGATCAAGTCTTGGTTCATCCAAATAAAGTTCTAATTGGGTCTTTTGAGAACTAATAATTTCTTGACTTTCAAACGAGTCGAATTCCTAAATATAGAAAAACATGAGAGAATAAATATATGCAAGATATATATGAACGATCAAAAAGCAAGAGCAACTTCCATGCTATATTGTGTTTTTATATTTAGGAGGGAATATGTGCATGGCATACCTACATTCTATGAAGCACGAACACGGACACGGCGACACGGACACGACACGGACACGGACACGGTAAAACCCAAAAAAATAGAACACGGTGACACGGCTAGAATTTTTTAATATTATTATTATATATAGATAAATTTATAAAATTCAAATAACAAACTAAAATGTAATCCTCAAACACAAAATAGTAAGCTACTAACAAGTCTATATATAAATTTATATATAGATAATTTGAAGTGTTTATTGAACTAATTCCAATAGAAAAATATCCAAGAAAAAACACAAAACCTGCTAACGAAATATGTGCAATTTCTAAAAGAAACTAGTTTTGTAGGGCCTGAGGAATAGAAGGCCCATTTGTATTCTGTCAAAAAATAAAGGCCCATTCTCTCTACCGATCTTATCCATTCGCTATTATCTCTCTCTAAACCCTAGTCTTCTCTCTCATCGAGTTCTTAATCGCAGGCCACGTATTAAAGGTAAGCGACGAGCGATGAAGAGGGAGACAGAGAGATTGAGAGAGAGTCGGATTGAGAGAGAGAGAGGGGGGGGGGAGAGAGAGAGAGAATCAGAGAGAGAGAGAGACGAAGGGGGAGGAAGAGCCGATCTCGAGCTCGAGAGAGGCGAGGATGAGGAAGAGACGATCTCAAGGGAGAGAGAGACGAGGACGAGGAAGAGCGGGAGGGTAAGTAATGAAATTAGGGTTTGTGTTTGGGTTTGAGTTTGGGTTTCGGGTTTCTTTTTTGTTCGCGAACGAGTCAGGAACTAATCGGGGGTGTGTCGGGGCGTTGACCCGCGTCGGTGGAGTTAACCGCGTGTCCGACGCGTGTCGAGCGCGTGTCCACATCCGACACGCGTCGGACACGGACTCGGGTCCAAGTTTGGCGTGTCTGTGCTTCAGAGCCTACATTAGATCTGTAAAAGAAAAAAAACGTATTCATGAACGTGGCCCTGTAAAAGCCTGGTAGTATGTTGGCATACCTACATTAGATCTGCAGTGTTATTTTTAAATAGAAAATCAAGTAACAATCCATGAAGCAGGACAACCAACAAAGAATAGTGCATGTGAAGTATTGCTTATATAACTTGTTAAAGAAAAATTAGGCATTCATTGCACAAGAAGTTTTTGATCCATAAAAATGCATGAGTGGTTGGACCTAAATTGTGCTAAGATTTTTATTCTCAGAACTCAATAAGTTACCGAAACAGCAATGAGAAAAAAGGTTTATACATTGATTTGAACTAGGCAGGGAAAATAAAATGAGGATAGCCAAAGAACTACATAAATGACATCAATTACCTGTAAACAAGATCCAACTATTTGTCATTGTGTCAACCTGTTAACCTGATGCATATTAATGTTCATGTCTGCATATTAATGTTCATGTCTGTGCCTCATCTAATGTGTTTGTGTCATGCTCGACAAGATATTATTGTACTAGGAAAAATATAGCTTAACACTATTATCTTTTGCATTAGTTGTGAACAAACTTACTGCATATATACAATATGAAGTCTCATGTAGTATGTTATTTACTCTCACACGCACCTGTCAACTATTGAGAAAGATTTAACTGATGAGCACGTTACAATGTGGAAGTTGCAAGAAATTATACACATACAAGATATAAATACATGCAAAAATAATAAAAACTAAGAGATATACTAATTACTTGAGAAAGAAATTACCCTCAACTCCTCAAGATATCAATGCAATCTTGATCAATTGTGTCATCATACACACGAGAAGTTCCCTCCTTGCTTGATTTCTCCAAGTTTCTTCTTCTATCACCATCCATATTGCTCGAGTACTCATTAAAGAGAGAAAAGCTTGTCTTTCACATTCTTAAGCTTCGTAGAATTGTGTCCCTATGAAGCACGGACACGCATAACATGAAGCCGTGTCCGTGTCGGACACACGTGTCGAACACACGTATCCTATGTATTTTTTAGGATTTGCCTCGTGTCGGCGTATCGGATGGTCGTGTCGGATCCGTGTCCGTGCTACATAGTTGTGTCCATATAGCCCATAATAGCAAAACTCTACAAATTGCATTTTGTATCGGGGATCCAAGATGCACGCAATAGCAAGTAGAACATTGTACTCACTCTAATATTTTTCAAATTTCTTGTACATTTTGGTTGCTATTAACTTAACATATTCATCATCATCTTTCATCCCACTCTTTAAAGTACGTTGCACAACAAATACTTGAAGAAAGTAGAGATTAGTCATTGGATAATTTGTACCGGAGAAAAGACAAGTGACGTTATAGAAAGTGGCTAATAACCTCTTAACCTTCTCGGCCTTATCCCATTCTTCTTGAGATGGACAAAGTCTTAAGTAGTTGGAATCACTCAATTGCATGTGTATAAATGCACGACGATAGTATAAAGCACTCTCAAGCATTAGAAAAGTAGCATTCCATCTTGTTGGAACATCTTGCCTTCAACTCTTCTTCACTTCCAAAGATTCATAAGAGAGACATTCTCAAAATTTTTGTTTTCTAATTTGAGAGCCTTTTATATACTTGACGCTTTCTCGAATTTTATCAATACAATCATGAACTTCTTTTAAACCCTATTGGACAATCAAGTTGAGGATATGAGTACAACATCTAATATGAAAAAGTTCTCCCTTCCCAAGAAGTGCTTTTTTCAAATTAAGTTGTTTTTTTAATAAATCAACAAAAACATCATTTACGGAGGCATTATCAAGAGTGAAAGAAAACAACTTCTTTTTAATTTTTCAATCAACTAACAACTTATAAATCTTCTCACAAATGGCAACACCGGAATGAGGAGGTGACATATAAGAAAAGTTAAGAACCCGATTTTGTAATTTTCACTCATGATCAATGTAGTGTGCCGTGAGACAAATATATCCGTCGGTGGCTATTGATGTCCACAAATCGGAAGTCAAGTTAATTCTACGCGGAATCGATTCAAAAGCTTCTTTAAGCCTATTTTTTTTTCTCTTCCATAGATTTTAAGAACATCGACTTTAACCGTATTTCTTGATATGTGTTTTATATCCTCACAAAGATAAGAGAAGATTGCTTGAATACTTTCATACTCAACAAATTAAAATGACAAATCGTGCATAATGATGGCCGAGATTAAGGGTCCCCTAAACTTATCCGGGTCAAAATTAAATCTCGAGGAACCCATTATAGAATCTTTTGAGTTAGATAGACCTTCAATATCCTCTCTAGTAGATTTCTTACAATTTTTCATGTGTCTTAACATGTTCTTTGTTCCATGGTTACCTTCGACAATATATTTGATTCCACACTTTTTACATATTGAATATTGTTTTCCACCTAGCTCTTGAACAAGGTCAAACATTTTTTAAGCTTTGGACGTTAATTTTTTTCAGCTTCCAACATTTATCGCTTTGGAATTTTTTTGAACAGGACTAGACATGTCTTCTAATTCTTCATTAGATGAATCCACTTCTACATTATCTGCTATAGAATTATGGGTAGAATTAGACTCCATTAACTGTGATGAAAATTATAGAACTAAAATTAGAGATGAACTAGATCCACTGAATACTTTCCACTATCCTGAAACATGGCTTCATGCATTGAACAACCAGAATAAACATAGTGAACCAAATAAAATAGTTAGATTCATATAATCCACCATTGCCAGAATCACAATATCTGGGGAAAAAAATCAAAAGAGTATACCAAACTCACTAAATAGCAACAATAAACAGACATCATGAACATTACATACGAAGAACTGAAGAGCATGAACATCACATACGAAGAACTGAAGAGCATGGTTATTACATGAACCACATGATCATCAGATGTGATGTTATATTGACAATCTGATTACGTTGATGCAAAACTCATCCACAGTGAAGTACAAAGTCAGCATAAAAAAGTTATATTGACAATCTGATTACGTTGATGCAAAACTCATCCACAGTGAAGTACAAAGTCAGCATAAAAAATAAAAACTACAAGCATAAGTAGAATTATGCAAAACTCATCCACAGTGAAGTACAAAGTCAGCATAAAAAATAAAAACTACAAGCATAAGTAGAATTAAAGAATATAAACATACATTGCATAGTCAAAAACCGAGTTAAGAATATAAACTCCTCAATTCTAATATGATCTCAAGACATGAAAATTGAAAGAAAATCCCAAAATTAACGCCCATAAAACTGAGTTAAGAATATAAATTTATCAATACTAATATGATCTCAAGACTAAAACATATTATAAAGCTCCTCAATTCATTACATTAATGCCCATAAAAGTAAAAGCAAGAAAATCCCAAAATTGAAAGAAGACAGGATGAAAAAAAAAATCCCCAAAATTGATAGAAGACAATATCAAAAAGCCCTAGCTAAGAGTGTACCTCAAAATCCAGTGATCAAGAGGAATTGGGCTCGATCGGAGAGAGGGAGGAGTAACTATGACTCGATGGAGAGAGGAGAACTCGAGCGCTCGATGGAGAGAGGAGAACTCCAGTGCTCGATAGGAGAGAGAGGAACTATGGTTCGAGGATCGCTGCTGCTCGCCGCCGCTCGCTGCTCGAGGGGAGAGAGAGGAACTATGGTTCGAGGATCGTTGCTACTCGTTGCCGCTCGAGAGGAGTGAGGGAAATCTAGGGTTTCGTTTATGAGAGACGAATGGATGATGGGTTGCTACCTCAATTACGAGTCGGGTGTTATCGCCTTATCAGGTCATTGTTAGTTTATACGGGTCAGTTCGGGTCAACCCGAATTGACCCATTTAATAAATAGATTAGTTCAGGTTGACCCGTTTATGACCCGACCCATGTAATTCGACCCATACACATAATAAACGGGTCAGGTCGGGTCGGGTTGATGGGTCGGGTCATAAATTGCCACCCCTACAAATGACTTAGGGAGATGAGCTTTGGTGAAGAGATCTGCCGGTTGATCCGCAAAGGAGATAGGTAGCACCGGCCCAGTTAGTATCTGAATAGGCACATATCTCAAGAGTGGAGTTAGCTGAAAATTAAGGCTACGAAATAGGGTGCCTTTGATGTAGCAGAGAATGTGCAAAACACCAACAAAATGAAACGCGCTGTTGTCATAAATTGACTAACAAGATGAACAACGTAGACAATATTTGGTGAGGCAGCAGTCGGATATACTAAACTACACACCAGCAGTCTGTATAATGTAGCATCAGGGAGTAGAGTGCCATCCACCGGAGTAAACCGAACATTGGGTTCTAGGGGAGTGGAGGCAATCTTATTATCAGTGAGGCTAGCAGGAAGTAAAATTAGAAGCATATTTTCCCTGAGATAAATAATAACCATGAACACGAGAGATAACTTCAAACCCAAGAAGGTAAGAGGACCAAGATCCATCAAGTCAAAATGCTGATTGAGAAAGTCGTTGAGATCTTACTGCAGTAATAGCATAGGCTATCATTATGTATAGTTACCTATTAGCTTAAAGGGTCACAACGCCATTATACAAGAGCTATCATTGTTGTTTTTTGGCTGTAGGCTATTTGTGGGCTATTGCACAGCTGTGTTCATCTGGGGATGAAGCATTGTCGTTATATATATCCATGTAAGAGATAAAACTTAGATGAAAAACTTCTTCGAAATTCCTCTGCAAATAAGATGTACCAGAGCTGGTGACGAGCTTCCTCTCCAAATCTCTGTAATTAGTTCCCAAGTCCTCCACCTTTTCTCTATACACCACCTCTACCACTGACCTCCTGCACCGATTTCCGCTAATGAGCCTTGCCGACGCATTCTCAGATCTCACTGTGGTCCCTCTTTGTGTGAGTAACCCCAATGCCTTTGACAGGCTTCATCGACGTCTCTGATCAGATATAACAGATGCTTCAACAAATCCATGTTGTTCTCATTGTTCTATGAGAAGTAAAAGCTGTAGGAAAAGTATTTCCCGCCTTGGTGTGTGTTTATAACTACTTTTTCTTCTAAGAATGTAATAAAATGTCATTCTTCTCAGAATTGATTATTAGTTGAAGTATGGATTCATCAGTTTTAATACAGAGTAAAGGCATCTAAAGACATTTTTTATTTTTGACTTATATTTTTATGCCTTTTTGCACCTTAGCAGTCAGTTGTAGGATACAAATCAACTTATCCCTGTTCTGAAGTGTTTTTCAACATAATACCAGATGGGAAGAACTTTCTATTTTATTTGGTATATTCTTTAGGAAGAGGCTTTGAAGATACGTAGAAAAGTACTTCAAAAAGATGTACCCATGTAGATAAATATTCAATTCCTGGATACTCTGGCATCTGATGAATAAATGTAAGATAGTTCTTCTTGACATTACTTAAACTTTGCAGTGTATTTTAAATGGGTCGAAAACATATTCTAGATGTATTAGAGCGTAGAAGTTAAAAGTTGAATATGCGAATGATGGGTAAGTCTACTACTACTAATATATTGTGGCATGCTTCATACATGACTAGTTTAATTTATATATATCATCTATATTATTCTCTGTCCCTCTCCGATTCCCAAGAGTAGTTTAGACCTTTTATTTAAGTCATGAACGCCATCACCAACAATTTCCAACACTTCATGGTATTTTTTTTCCAGTTTTGAATACTTTTTTTCTAATAAAAATAAGTTTATGATATTCCTTTACAAAAGTCCTCAATTTCATGGTAATTTTGTGAATTTTAGCCAAAAGCTTTCTGTAGAATTCAGGCTTTCATCATATTGATTATATAATACCAAGAATTTCATATTTCAGATACATTCCAGCATATTCTACACGGCTAAAGTTTGAGGATGGATCATGGCATGTTATGCCTGTGGACGCCTCTGATTCGATGGGCGCAGTGGATCCAGTATGGACAGAAAGCTTTTGGGATACAATTGGAGTGCGAGTTTATACAGTTCAAAGTTCATCATATGATCGCCTTATTCTTGTTGCTGGAGTGATTCTCACCGTATCTTCTTACATTGCAGCTACCTACATCAGAAATTACCTCTCGAAAGCTCTAAAGAGGGATTGATACACAAGAAAGCAAAGGTTTGGACAATTATATTACGGGATTCTGTATTATTTTGCTTGAAGGCTGTGAAACAAGTGGATTGGTCTGGGTTTTATTCCGGGTTTACTTGAGCTACAGAATGTACTTTTACATGTGTAGCGTAGAGTTAACATAGTTGCTGGAAGTACCAATTTTACACGTAAAAAGGAACTATTTATCTATTTACCTGTAGATATCAAGCTCTAGTGGTCTTTTATCAGCGTGCAAAGTGTTATGGTTATTTACCACAATTCAGCGGGAACTTTTGAAAATTGTGAGCATGACGAATTATGATGGCTAATGATTAACAGGGAGAAAGATGCATGAGCAAAATATATCATGTCCAGGAATGAAAGATTCTCTTTTATGGTCCAAGAAGCATGTGATGTACTTTCCTTATACTTCTCGGAGCAAATAATTGAGAGTAAGGTGATCTGGACTATGTAGTGGCGTGATAAAATGTCGAAACCATCTCCCTCCTTGGTATCTTTACAGATTGGAAAGCTCTGTACCGTGTGGAACGTTCTGATAGGATTTCTGCTTAATTTTATTGATTTCCTATTGATCTTTCTTTGGGTAATAATATCTCTACACTGTATAATGAGGTTCTTGTATTTTTCCCATCAGGCGAAGAAAATGCACACTGGATACCTGTTTTTACTGAAAAAAGCGGAGACAACTCAGCAAGATAAGGATCAGAGATATTGAAATGAATACCTATTTTCAGGAATTACCTGGCCGTAACCTGTGTTGTTCTAATTGAAGAAACTATTGGGGTTGTCTTGGTAAGTACAATAAATGCCTAACGTTAAGGAATATTACCATTAGTTGGTGGAAATGAACCGAATTTGAATTAAATATCCTAGTATTCGTATTCGGACCATATGTGACTATTTGAATTCATATACGAATAGGAAACCAGTATTCGAATTTGATTTGGATAATGTTCGAATATCTAATAACTATTTGCGAATATTCCTTAATTAAGAGTGTTTGGGTAGTCTTTACGAATTATTCGGTAGATATTCGGCAAATATTCATTATCCTAGTCATATAATAGAGCCAAACATGAAATACCTAATGAAAATGCAGCCTTTTGATATTTAATATTCACAAATTAAAAACTATTTATCCACATTTGCAAGCTCCAAAATGAAATTTAAAGGGCTAAAATGTATAAACAAATAGTTTATTAAACAAACGAATCAAATATACCTATGATTAAATTCTAATCGTTTATAAACCGAATAATGAAAACTATTCCTTTATTATTAAATGAACCATCGAATCGAATGTGGTCGGATACTAGAGCGAATAAAAATCGAACTATTTGTTAAACATTTGGTTCATTTCCACCCCTAATTACCATCATATAATGTGGTATATGCATCTGTAGTTACTTGTGGTAGTTACTTGTGGATAACAATTGATAGGGTTTTATCATATTAGACTCCCCGATCTTTGTTAACGGAATATTAGACCTCAACTATTTTAACTTGTTTTCAGAAGGGATTGATTACAACCCAGTATCCTGAAGTATGATGTAATTATACGATAAGTATGATGAAATTTTACGAATGATCATCGAGTCCGTGTATCTATATGAGTAACTCTAAGGTTATTTGTGTGTGTTTGTTTGCTGTTGAGTGCTGTTTTTCGCTTCTTTTATATTGGTGGGGGTGGGGGGGGGGGTCTCGGGGGCTTAAGCAATTTTTAACATAGTGGCAATATCTTTTCATACGGTGTCAAGGCAATATAAAGCTAAATCTTACTAGCCATGAATTTCTAAAGTAGACTAAGAAAATACAGCTTTATAAGTCTCGTTTACAGCACACGAAGGTGCACTTAGCATGCGTGAGCATGTCAGAGTATAAAATAATAATGTTTATCAGAACTTTAGAGTTTTTGCGTAGCGGTGTAATTCTTTGACACCATTCAACAAGGGAATTGTTTTTAAAAACTTATAAAGATTTTTGTTGGGGTGGGGTGTGTGTGTTGGGGGTGGTGGTGATGGCGGCGGCGATAGTAGTATTTTTAACTTACAAAGATGTAGAGGACTAATATGACGGAAAAAAACCTACTTAAGGAAACATTGTCAACGTTAACATCTCCGTCCATCCCTGCATAGCCACAACTACTGTTCACGCGCGTACGGGACATCCCATTAAACGACAACTGACGTTAACGTGCTGGAGATCCCTCCTCTCTTCCCTCTCCCTCTACCCATTTCTCTACTCAACAATAAAATAATAAATAAAAAACTAGAAACAAATCGAAATCCAGATCCCGAGCCAGTTTCTAAATTATTCTCTGCCACCTCAGCATCCCCTCCTCCTACGGAATCTGTCGGAATCCCATTTCCCTTCTTATTTTCTAGAGAGAGAGACAGAGAAATCTAGAGGGTGAGAGAGCGCGCAAATCCATCGATGGCGTCCTTGTCTTTTACCGGTTCTCTTTCTCAGAGCTCGTTTCTGAGGTCCTCACGTGCGGTCCTCACGTGCGCCGCCACGTGACCGCCGGAGGGCTGTTGGGTTTCGGGTGCGGGCGGAGGCGGCTGGATCGGAGCCGGATCTTAGGGTTCGAGTAAATGGGTTGGAGATGCCGAACCCGTTTGTTATCGGGTCGGGTCCGCCGGGGACTAATTATACTGTTATGAAGAGGGCGTTTGATGAGGGTTGGGGTGCTGTCATCGCTAAAACGGTATAATTATCAGACCCTTTTGGTTTTTAGATTTTAGGGTTTTCGTTTGCTGTATGTGGTAAAATTTTGATTTTTTACGTATTTATGGTGGAATTTGTTGAGTGCATGCCCTTTTTGAAAAAACCTTTTTCTCTTTTTTTATTATTAATTCGACGTGATGTTTGATATGATTAGTTTTTAGACCCTTTAATCGGTTTCGTTCTTCCTTTTCCAAAAGTGATAAAATTTTAAAGGTATTTATGCTTATTGTTGATTGTGAGCTTTTTTTTCCTTCTACTTTTGATTTGTTGATGAATAATTTTTCAAAACAGACTCATTCGGATTTTTATTTTTCAAAATCGACCGTTTTTTCTTTTATTTATCAAAACCGACCGGATTTTGTGATTAACAGGTTAATCACTATCCTAAATAGTCGGGGTTGCCAACCCCGACTATTTAGGAGGGTGTTAAACCCTAATTAAAGGCCTTAATTAGGGTTTAACACCCTCCTAAATAGTCGGGGTTGGCAACCCCGACTATTTAGGATAGTGATTAATCTGCTAATCACAAAATCCGGTCGGTTTTGATAAATAAAAGAAAAAAGGGTCGATTTTAAAAAATAAAAAACTAAATGGGTCGATTTTGAAAAATTGTTCTTTGTTGATTGGTATAACTGATTGTGCTGTACCCATTTCATCATGTATAAAATAAATTTTTGATTTTTATTGTTCTGAATGACTGCAGGATTTCATGGTTATTTCATAGGAAGCTATAGTAAGTATAAGGAAATTTACCTTTTGAGGAGGAGGGGAAAAAAACCAAACATTTCTCGTTTGATTATATGAATATTTGTAAATACTTTTGTGATTCATTCATTAGATTTTGAATGTTGTTGCACCCCCACCACCAACCCCCGCAACCCAATCTGAAGGGGATCTGATGGTTGTGTTGGTGCTCGTAATAGTATGATTCAGATAAACCTGACTCAAATTGAACTGATATTGTGATCTAGGACCAAGTCCTTCATGTATGAAGGAAATATTTGATTTTTATTATTACGTGGGACGACAGGGCTTATGGATGTAGACGTTGATCTGTAGTAAGCATGGAATAAAATTTCTTTTGTCAGCAAGAAAGATAATGTTACTGTTTATGATCCATAGGAATTCAATATAATTTTTCTTTAAAGGAGATCTGATGAGTGGATTCATGTTTGCTTCAGATATATGTGAGTCATACTATTCCAGATCAGCTATGCTATGTTCTCATCATGACTTCTTAATGAACGATGGTTCTTTCCCGTTTTCATTGACAAATTGGTGTTTATGGTTGCCTAGTTCCACCCCCTAAAGAGTGAAACTAAACTGCAGGAATTGCTTATTGGAAGATGGGGTCGTGCTGTCCCCTAAATTTCCAGTATTCTATATGTAGACGATTACCACCATCTCCTTTCTGTTAAAATGTGCACAGAACTTACTATGTTGATGCTTCTATTCCATGGAAAATGTACTTGATTGAGGTTAAAATCCTCCAGCAGACGAGGGTAACTTTCCTCTTTGCAAACTGTCCAAGCTCTAGAGAGCTGATATTTTCTTAGCCATGAACTTTCTACCACTTCAGATCTTCGATTGCATGGTCGATGCTTCCTTTCTCCTACTTACCTTAGAGTTATGCTCCATTGATTGAAAAAGGTTGTTTGATGAGGGTTACGCTGGAAGTCCTTTGCTTGAAGCTTAAGAATTGAAGTTAAATATCCAGTTTTTTACTAATAAATATACTAATTACCTTCTAAAACATAATTGCCGTTAACTCTTGGTCTTTTTTGTCTCTATATTGGTATGAAAGAGCATCTGCTGCTAATTATATTCACTGCTATTGTAAGCCGAAACATTTATTCATATTGTGCATGTCGTCTCAAGGTTAGTGATGTTACAAGGAAATGTAGTATACAACTTAATGTGATGCCTGTTTTACCAAGATTTTCAACAACTTGTATTATTAAGTTTTCTGTAATCATCTTAATAGTATTGCCTGGATCTGTGAAAGTTGTAGGTATCCTTGGATGCTGAAAAGGTTGTAAATGTAACACCCCGTTATGCTCGGCTTCGAGCAGCGGGATCAAATGGCTCAGCAAAGGGACCAATTATCGGGTGGGAGAATATTGAACTCATCAGCGACCGACCTCTTGAGACTATGCTTAAGGAGTTCAAGCAATTGAAAGAAGAGTATCCAGACAGAATTCTCATTGGTTCAATAATGGAAGAGTATAACAAAGCTGGATGGCAAGAACTCATCGAACGAGTTGAGGAGACTGGAGTGGTAAATTTCATCTCCTTAATCATTTCTCAGTTTCCCTGGTTATTCGCACTTAAATACTCCAGAGTTTACCTCATTTCCAACTTTAATGACCCAAAGTTCTTTTTGCCCAAAAATGACCCAAAGTTAAACAAAATTGAACTTCAATACCCCAAAGTTTTTTTGCCCAATACCCCAAAGTTGAACAAAATTTAATTTTGATACCCCTAAAGTTTTATTCTTTTTTTTTTGTTAAATTTACAGTTGGGGTATCAAAGATACATTTTTGTTATATTTTGGAGTGTCAAAATTAAACTTTGATGAGCTTTGGGGTATTTTTGGACCCAAATTTTTTTTGGGGTATCATAGTAAAAAATGAGGTGAAATTTGTTGTATTTTTTGGGGAAAAACTTTGGGAATCAAAGTAAAAAATGGGGTAAATTTTGGGGTATTTAATTGCAAATAATCCTAATATAAAATCCATTAGAAAATAACTTTTTTTTTCTTGCAATGCCTTTATGTAGGATGCTCTTGAAATAAATTTTTCATGTCCACACGGTATGCCAGAGAGAAAAATGGGTGCTGCAGTTGGGCAAGACTGCGCATTGTTAGAGGAGGTATGTGGGTGGATAAACGAGAAAGCCACTGTACCTGTTTGGGCTAAGATGACTCCAAATATAACAGATATTACACAGGTTAGTCCCTTGTATCTTGTGCATTTCATATGAGCATCTCATGTATCATTTATTTTGGTTGATAGAAAAGGACATGGTGATGTTGAGTTTTTTACTTGTTGCATATTCTGACCTTAATCTGTTCTATTGAAATTCTCAAGCATTGCTGTAAAAGACTATTATCTTAGAATTTAAAGAAACAAAAATTCTTCAGTAATTGGTGTTAATTTGGTTAAAGCTAATTGGTGTTAAATTGGTTAAAGCTTACATAGAAGACTGTTAGAGAAGAATAGATAGGTAGTTTATTCACTTAATCTTCTCTTATGAGCACCAACGTGGCAACCTCTTATATTTGCCTTCCTGTTTCAGGACTCTTTCAAAATCAAACAGCCTAAACTATTACTAATACATATCAATGTATTAGTGCATAATCGACCCTATTTACCAACCACAGGGGGTCTTGTTACCTGTCTCATGGAAACTTTCCTTGTCACTTTTAAGATCACATTAGCAATGATGAATTCACATAATGAGACCATGTCCACACTTCATTAACCCACTCAACTACTACTGACCCTCTTTTGGCTTGGTATTTTTGGAAGGGTTAATTGCGGATAGACCCCTTCGCCTACTGCCCGATTGCCGATAGACCCCCTGTGGTTTTATTATTGTGGATAGACTCCTTGTACTATCATCCAATTTCAAAGATATGTGGTTTTATTCTCGTGGATGGACTCCTTGTGCTATCACCCAATTGCAATTGGTTCCCCTGAGTGAATTTTTTTGACTCTTCTCTTTTGAGGTCTATTTGTCAAACAATATTTTCTTTCTCTAAGGGTAAAAGAGCCTAAAAAGTTCACTCATGGTGTCTTTAGTTTATTTTGGGGGGGGGGGCGAGGGGTGTATACGCCATTACTAACCAGGGTCTTCATGATGCGGTGATGTCTTCTAGCTCTTACAAATCAAACATCATGATTAAAGTTGAAATATTTCTTAATTAGTTTTTTTAATTCTAATTTATACTGTTGGAGCTGTCATTTGATAAGGTGGCATGGCAGTTCAAATTTCCTCGCAATGTCAAGTTTCCTCCATTTAATGCAACTGTCTATCATTTCATTTCAAGTTTGTGACTCACTTCAGTTCTGTTTTTATGTTGCTTAGCCAGCTAGAGTGGCTTTGAAATCAGGATGTGAAGGAGTTGCAGCCATTAACACAATTATGAGTGTAATGGGTATTGATTTGAATACATTACGTCCTGAACCTTGTGTTGAAGGGTGAGTTGACACAACTCAATAACATAGTAAGCAGTCTTGGTTTCTTAGGATATTTTAATTTGTAACTAATTATTTTATTATGCAGGTTCTCCACTCCTGGGGGGTATTCTTCAAAGGCAATCCATCCTATTGCCCTTGGCAAAGTTATGCAAATTGCGAAAATGATGAAATCAGAATTTGATGGTAACAACTTATCACTTTCTGGCATCGGGGGAGTTGAGACTGGTGGCGATGCTGCTGAATTTATTCTGCTTGGAGCAAATACTGTTCAGGTTAGGTTACATAAGTTAGTAGATTTATTTGCATTTGAAGTTGAAGCCTTGATATTCTTATAGAATCACGTGAGCTGTCTATTGTGAATATTTATAATCAAGGTTTGATGTTTCAGTAAGAATATCTTAAGCTTTATGTCCCTGCTTGAATATTTGTGAGTATTGGCATTGATGGCTTATATGATGTTTCAGTAATATATCATGGGATCATTATTTTTTCTGCATTAAATAACTTGGAAGAAATACCACCCATGTATATAATCTCATGTGTTTCAGTAATATATCTCGAGTTTAAGTGGCATCCCACAACGAATACCGGCAAGTTGAATGTTAGTAGCGTTGGGCCATCAGCAATTGCAGGTCCCACAAGGCACCACCACAGTGGCAGTGCTCTTTTTCGTGTGTAGGCTATGGGGGATAGAGAAATCACTTTTCTTATGTATCACAAGAAGGCTAGGGATTGGTTAAGTCTATTCCAACCAATGTCTCATTCCAAATATGACCGTCTTTTGTCTTTAAGCACCTTGTAACATGCTAAAAGTATTTCACATATTTAAATAGAAAAGACCACTGATTTCATGCTGTTGTAATCGCAAAGCATTGCAATAGTTCACATTTGAATATGGTTGATGAAAGAAATAATCAAATTCCAATACCCTTTCAGCTTTGGCATGTAAGAATACTTCTCAGTTCCTGCAAGCGTATCTGAAATATATCAAGATGCCCGTAAAGGACACATAATTCTGACAGAATTTACTGATTATGGATTTACAGAATGTATGAATGTTAATGTTAAAATCTCCTGGACGAGATTGTGTTTATCTGCTATGTTCTATACTTCTAAATGTTGCTACCAAAAAAAGTAGGGTTTTTGTCATATTAGACCTTCAAATCTTTTCTAAATCTGTGTTAGACCTCCAATAATCTTCATATTTTTTAATTAGATCCCCAAATCCATTAGGTTGTTTTAATTAAGATACCTAAATCTATTAAGTTATTTAGATAAGACCCCTAAACCTATTAAGTTCTTTTAAATAAGACCCCCATTTCGAACAAATATGAAGATCTGGGGGTCTAATTTAGTGACATGAAGATTTGAGTGTCTAATATATTACATGCAAAGATTTGTGACGTCTAATGTGACAAAACCCAAAAAAAAATATTTTGTAAGGTATTTCTGACTTTCTGTAAATCCTTTTCACTGCGATTTTGGCTAAATACGATTTCATGCTACAGGTTTGCACGGGTGTCATGATGCACGGTTATGGCATTGTGAAGAAGCTCTGTGCTGAGCTGCAGGACTTCATGAGAAAGCACAACTTCTCTTCAATAGAAGATTTCAGAGGGTATTCTGAGTCACTTTTAAATTTCTTTTCAAACATGCTCTCATTAATTCATTTTTGGGTTAACTGCGGATAAATCCCCTGTTGTATAATTGTTTAGAATTTACTATGCCTCTAGTTTTATTGTTGCAGATGGATCCTCTTGAGTGTTTTTTTTTTTTTTGACTTGTTCTCTCTTAAAGAAACAAAAATTTCTCTTTGGTAAAAGAGTCAAAATTTCACTCAGGGTGTCTATCTTAAATGATAAGAATAGAGGGGTAGTAAGTGCGAAACAGTGGTACTAAGGGGAATCTATCTGCAATTAACCCATATTTTATTCGACCTCTCATTTCCAATGATAATTATTTTAGGGCATCTCTCCCATACTTCACTACTCATATGGATTTGGTTAGTCGGCAACAAGAAGCCATCAAACAGAGAAAAGCTATTAAGAAAGGCTTGCAATCGGACAAAGACTGGACAGGAGATGGATTTGTGAAGGAGTCTGAAAGCATGGTTTCCAACTAAATCACGTCGTGAACTTGATAACTCTTCTTATTGATGTAACTTTGATTTTGTGCATGTTGTCGAAAACTGATGTGGTAAATAAGACAAACAAAATTATGGTTGAACTGGTACTCAGAAAGATTAAATGGTAGAATAAATGTGCATGCATGTTGTCAGTTTGATTTTCTTTTGTATCTATAGTTTTTGGTGAGATGATGTTGCAGTAATTGTCCGCGATGCTTCAAGAAGAGCAAGTGTGCATGGTGGTTGTCTTGCTGTGTAATCTATGGCCGTCTCCCAATAAGCCCAAAACATGAGGCCTGTTCTCTCTTCGTCTGGGATGGTTACGATGGAATTTCTAGCAAGCCATATTTCCAGGGGCCTTGGATGGGTACTGTGTTAGTTTAAGGGATGTAGACTCAAAGCTGGAATCAAACAAATTGTTAGATGGCAGATTTTCTAATTTGTTTTAATAACATGATTCTTAATCTGTTTTGGTAACAGGTTATTAGGATTCCTAATCTGTTTTGTCTTTTGGTTTTAGAATTCCTAGTCTGTTTTGGTTTTAGATTTTCTATATATATGGAACGCCTTAGAAGAGATTAGACATTAGAAAAAGAGGGTTTGAGAGAATTCTTCAGAGATCTTTGAGAGATTAGATCCTATTTGTGGGCATTGTAATCTTCTTCAATATTAATCAAAGAATTGTGTGGTGTGGTTTCCGAGGACGTAGGCATGATTGCTGAACCTCGTTAAATCTGGTGTGTTCTTGTTTACTTTCCTGTAAGTTTTTATCTTTTATTTGCTGTGATTTTTTTCTATATTTTGGTTTTTATCTTTTATTTCCAGAAGGGCAAGGGTTCGATTTGATTGTTTCGAATCCTCAACAACTGGTATCAGAGCTTCGTTCAGAAGGATTGTGAGAGAGTCATAACAGAGGAAAGCAAATCTAAGATCGAGAAGTTTGACGGTTCAGATTTTGCCTACTGAAAGTCGCAGATGGAGGACTATCTATACCAGAAGGACTTGTATCTCCGTTGATGGGCAAGGCTAAGGGAAAGAAGAAAGAAGAGTCGGACGAGGATTGGGAGATACTGGAGGATTGGGAGATACTGGATAGGAAGACTCTAAGGCAGATCCGGTTGTCGCTCGCCAAGATAGTCGCACACAACATATTGAAGGAGAAAACGACGGTGGGGCTTATGGAAGCGCTCGCGAAGATGTACGAGCAACCGTCTGTGGCAAATAAGGTGCATCTCGTCAAGACACTCTTCAATCTCAAGATGGCAGAATGACGCTCCTTCACAATGCACCTCAGCGAGCTCAACACGATTGTTGATCAACTCATCTCCGTAGACATCACGTTTGATGACGAAGTGCAGGTCCTATTGATTCTATCGCAGTTGCTGGATAGTTAGGCAGGTTGTGTGATGACAATCAGCAATTCGGCGGGGAAGAAAAAGTTAAAGCTGAGCGAGGTTGTTAGCATGATTCTATCCAGGAGGTTAGAAGGAAATCGTTTGAATTAGAAGGTTCAAGTTCAGCCATAAATTTCGAGCAAAGAGGTAGAAGCCAGAAGAAGGGAAATCAGAGCAGGAATCGGTCAAAGTCAAACAAGAAGAAATCAATCTCGAAAGTTAGGCCTATCAAATGAAAGTGTTGAAACTGCGGCCATGAGGGCCATATGTCTTCAGCTTGTAAAGCACAAAAGAAGGATGCGTATGAGCAGGAGGCTCATATCGTACAGGATGCCTTGATCCTAGCTATGAACAGCGATTCTGATTCCTGGGTCATCTACTCAGGAGTCTCGTTCCATGTTATGCCACTGCTAATAGGAAGCTTCTTCATAACTATGTAGCAGGGGACTTTGAGAAAGTATACTTTGAAAGCACCCTAGAGGGGGAGGTGAATAGGGTTAATGCTAATCTAATCCAATTTGATGCCAATTAAAAACTAATTAACAAATTATCCTAGCAAATATGATATTTAACAAATTATATGCAAGGATATTAAACTAAGGGCGAAATAAACATGAGCAATGACGATATAAATAAAGAGCACAAATATAAGTGTACGCCAAAGACAAACTCAAACACAAGAAAATGATCACGGAGTTCGGTCCCCTCGACCTACATCTCTGCTCCCCACTCCCGGGGAGAATCCATTATCACAATCGGGTTTTCGACGCTCACCCGAAAACGTTTACACCACACAATATCAGTTTTCAACGCTCACCGATCAACGTTCACAATCACTTACAATGTAATTACACAAATACCATATCAAGTGCTAGCCTCTCACGTGTCTCCCTCAAGTGCTCGGAATTACGACCTACCTCTAGGCATTACCACCGACCCCACTCCTCATGGGACCGACCACGTCTCTCACCTCTACACTCCTCTTGGTGTATTTGTGTAATACAAAGTGAATCCTCACATCTCTCACCTCTACACTCCTCTTGGTGTATTTGTGTAATACAAAGTGAATCCTCACAATTAGGCTCAATATAAATAATTTGTTCTCTAAACAACGTGAGAACTCAATTAAGCTCAATTCAATGTTACAAACCCACAATCCCAAATTATACTATGTATGAAATACTATAAGCTCAATAGGTTGTGTGTGAACAATGAGTATAATCAAAACAAACTAAACTTAAAGTAAATCTAGCTTATGGAAATTATAATCAAAATAATAAATAGCTAGAATGAGTTTAGGAAAACTTCTCTATGATGACAAGAGAGAGAGAGAGAGAGAGAGAGAGATGAGTTGAAGCTCAAACACTAAAGGATGATCTCTTCTAGCTCTTGTGAAAATTTCTTCACAAACTTGAAACTCAAACAAACTTTTAAACAAACTTTAAACTCTTGTAAACTTATTTTAAACACTTTTTAATTACCTCAGAATGTTAAAGGGTAAGGGGTATATATAGGATCATAAGACAAAGCCAAAAAAACAAGTAAAAAGATAAAATAACGAAAACTGGAAATATAACCGTTACAGACCATAAGTCGACTGACGAGATAGATCAGTCGACTGATGAGCTGATCGTACCTCATCAGTCGACTGATCAGTCGACTGAATAAAAAACAAAAACTTTTTGTAATTCCAAGCGATTTCTTCAGTCGACTGAATACTTGCATCAGTCAACTGATAACATAATATCAGTCTTATTAAAATAGTAAATCTGGCTTTTGAAGTGCCTTTAAAAATAGAAAATAAATTCTAAAAATTATAAAAGTTTGGGAAATGATTATAAACATGATAATAAACATGTTACAAAAACAATTTTAGAATTGCACTTCACATTTGTGAAAACTCATCATTTTGTAAAAATGTCCAAAACATGAAAAGTTGATAGACATGAAATTTAATGTTTTGACATAAACCAAGTTTTGAAACTTTGTAAAATAATTTTCTAGACTTAATAAAATATGTATATAATGATTGTTAAGTCCATAAACTAATAACTCAATATTTTTTAAATACAATAGAATATGAAACAAGTAAATGTGTATATGAATATATATCTGTTTCATATCTACATAACTAAACCAAAACAACTTAACCATATAAAAAAAATATGTGTGTGTGTGTGTGTGTGTGTGTGTGTGTTATTTTTGTTTCATATTTAAACTTGAAAACCAAAAACCAAAACGTGTGTGTGTGTGTGTGTATATATATATATATATATACATACACACACATATAATATAACCTAAAACTAAATTACCCAAGCTATCTTGATCTTCAATAAGCTCGACTAGGCAAACTATGCGGATGAAGCTTGAACTTGAATATGGCTTGATGTATTGCTTCACTCGGATATTCCGCCAACCTCCATTGGATGTGTTCGTTTAGCTCAATTCCATCCAACCTCTGACATCGTTGTTTGTCTAGAATACCTAATAAGAAAACATAAATACTAGACAAATGATGTTAGGGATTATTTGTCAAACATCATCAAAATAAAAAGGCTAACAATCTCCCTCATTTTGATGATGATAAACAATTTATACAAAGAGTATATAAAATATACAATAGAGCACAATACTCATAAATATACTCACAAACCACTTGTTCCCCCTGGCAACATCAAAAATATGAAAAACAAAAGAATTGAGAGAGCAAAAGCTCCCCCTACAAATGAGCGTAGGTGAGTAAAAAAAATATAGGGAATAGCTCCCCCTATCAAAAAGCCATATAGAATATATGCAATGAATACTAAGACAAGCATGTGAGCAAACATAGATGGAAAAATATTCTAATTATAACTCACATTCAAAAAGGCCATGAGAACACATATTGATATGTCATTATGAAATAGTGTCTCAATACACAAACATAAAAACAATATATGAATTTTCATAGAGAAACATGAAGATCATGAGAACTCAAAAAAAAAAGTTTGTTCATGAAATAGAATCATGAATATCCAAAAGAGCAATCATGAAAGTATAAAAATATTTGTGAAAATATTTATAAAACTCCATGAAGAAAAATCATGAAAAATTCATGAGTCCGTGAAATCTAAGAATCATAAACGCATTAAAAAATACCGAGAATTTATATATTTCATCCAAAAAGATCAAAACGAAATATGATTAGGATAAAAAAAACCAAAATCAATTATCATATTTCGATAAGAAAACATGAGAGGCAACCATATCAAGCTCTTTGAGCTTATTTCAACCTATATAAAGATTTTAGCACCCGATAAATATGATTTGGGAAATAAAAACCCAATAAATCTAGGAGGTTGCTCAAACATAAACCTCTCACCAAAATCAAAACAAAGAATATATCTAAAAATAATGATTGATCAATGAATGAAATCTTCTTTGTAAAATTTGATCAATCCACATAAAGAATACATTATAAAGCACAAATAGATGATCCATAAGCTCAAACATATAAAATTTCATCATAAAAGTATTTTATAATGAATCCATAAACATGAATACATTGTTTATACCAAAAACTACATATTTAAAACCAAGAATCCAAAACATATGAGAATCATGAACTATGAATTTGAAAAACAAAAATAATTCATTTTTACTTTTTCAAACAATGTAAATGTATGTGTCTCTGTGTGTGTGTGTGTGTGTGTGTGTGTGTGTGTGTGTGTGTGTGCGTGCTTGAATAAAACTCCTAAAGTCTAAAAACACAGCATAAACACAAT